GCACACTGCGCAAGACAACCTAGTAGTACCCCACAAGAAGAGATACAAACTAACATCTTGTATCATAATTGATGACTTAAGGTCTACCATAGACAAGTCTACAAATGACATAAGGCAAGATCTGAAAAGAGAGTATGGTGTTAGCATTACATATCAACAAGGATATAGGGCTAAAAAGAGAGCAATGGTAGACATCCATGGTCTTCTAGAGGAATCTTACATGCTAATCCCGTGGCTATGTAAAAGGTTGCAAGAAAGTGATCCTAACATTGTTGCAAAATGGGTTGCATCACCAATGAATAGATTTGAGTGACTATTTATAGCTTATGGATGTTGTGTAAAAGGGTTCTTGGAAGGTGCTCGACCTATAATCTATATAGATGACTGTCATTTGAGTGGTCCCTACAAAAGGACTTTATTGGGAGCACAAGCATATGATGTGATCAATAATTTATTTCCTCTAGCTTATGCCGTTGCTGGTAGGGAAACTTTTGATGATTAGGTATGGTTCTTGTCTAAGATCAAGGAGATTACAAGAGATCTTGATTTAACAATTGTGTCTGATAGACATAGCGCAATTATAGTTGCTGTCAAAGCTATTTTTGGGGGCAAAAGATATGGTTTTTGTTACCGGCATGTAAAGGAGAACTATAGTTTTGAGTTCTTAAAAATCACTCTAGGAAAGAGAAGGAACAGCAATGAAACTAAGGAGACTACATTAAAATTGCTAGATTCAATAGCCTATACAAGACTAGATGTAGCTTTCAATGAGACTATGAGAAATTTGATGTCATTTTGTCCATAGTTGGGATAATGATTAGAAAGCCATAGGGGTATTGATCGCTGGGCACTTAATATGTTTCCTCATAGGAGATAGGATAACATTACCACCAATCTTGCATAATCATTTAATGTATGGTTGGTGAGTGAAAGAAAGTATAACATTCCTATCCTGATTCATGAACACAGGGAGAAGTTAGCTCTAAAGTTATATAAAAGTAAGTTGGGCATGGCAAATTGGAAATATTGCGTAGGTCCCAATGTGGAGTCAAAATTATTGGCACATATTGCTAGAGCTGAAAGAATGCCTACACAACATTATGGCTCGAACACTTTTAGAGTCTTGATTCCATGAGGAGATGTCCGTGTGAATCTTACCCTATGTGAATGCTCATGCAAGGCTTGGCAGATGTATGGGTTGCCATGTCCACATGCATGTGCGGCAACAAAGCATATACATGGGAATTTATATTCTTATGTTGAGAAATGCTATCTACTTAGTTGTCAACAAAAAAATATACTATCACAATATGATTCTTGTTGAAACTCATGACATTCCTAGGTCAGATATTCTAAGATTTCAGGATTATGCATCTACTGTATTGCTACAACCACTTAGGACTTGTAGACCTCCAAGAAGGCCAAGAAGCAGAAGGATAGAGTGACAATTCTAGCATAAGAAGGTATATCATTGCAAGAATCCCAATCTTAGCTAAACTGTTGATTAACCATTTATTTTTTAGTTGTATATATAGCTGTTGTTATTTTGTATATGAACTGAAGTTAGATTTTTTGTTCTTTCCAGTGAAAGCAGCTGTTGTGTATATTTATACAACCCATTTGATTTTTTGCTATAATGGGTTGGTATCTTATGAATATATCTTCTATATATAATTTCATGAAGGTATTTATGGCATACTATCATAAGTACCAGCCTGAAATTTTTTTATAATCTCTAATATGGTACATGTTAATGAACAAACATCAGTTGTGATTCTCTTAATATTAGTTGTAAATAGCTCTCTCTAATTTCTCCAATACCCCTTGCAAACCTTGTCTGAAACGTACTCGTGTTGATATATTATCATTAATTGCTAATTACACGAGTCCAATTGTAAATGTATTAATGACAGTTATAACTTTGAGGATAATGTCCAAGCATGTTCACGACTTGGCCTAATCTTTTAGATCTTATTCGTGGTAAACGTCAGAACACCACTTGTTAGTCACCCAATGCCACTCATAATTCTCTAATACCCCTTGCAAACCTTGTCTAAAACGTACTCGCATTGACATGTTATCACCAGTTGTTAATTGCATGAGTCCAATTATAAATGTATTAATGACAGTTGTAACTTTGAGGACAATGACCAAGCATGTTCACGACTTAGCCTAATGTTTCAAATCTCGTTCATTGAAGACGTCAGAACACCACTTGTTAGTCGCCCAATGCTACTCATTAATTCTCCAATACGCCTTGCAAACCTCGTCTAAAATGTACCAGTGTTGACATGTTATCACCAGTTGTTAATTGCGTGAGTCCAATTGTAAATGCATTAATGACAGTTGTAACTTTGAGGATAATGTCCAAGCATGTTCACGACTTGGCTTAATCTTTTAGATCTCATTTGTGGGAGATGTCGGAACACTACTTGTTAGTTGCCCAATGCCACTTGTTAATTCTCCAATACCCCTTACAAATCTCATCTAAAAAGTACCCGTGTTGATATGTTATCATCAGTTGTTAATTGTGTGAGTCTAATTGTAAATGTAGTAATGATTGTATCACTTTGAGGATAATGACCAAGCATGTTCACGACTTGGCCTAATCTTTCAGATCTCATTCGTGGGAGACGTCAGAACACCACTTGTTAGTCGCCCAATGCCACTCATTAATTCTCCAATATCCCTTGCAAACCTTATCTAAAATGTATCCGTGTTGACATGTTATCACCAGTTGTTAATTGTGTGAGTCTAATTGTAAATGTAGTAATGATTGTATCACTTTGAGGATAATGACCAAGCATGTTCACGACTTGGCCTAATCTTTCAGATCTCATTCGTGGGAGACGTCAGAACACCACTTGTTAGTCGCCCAATGCCACTCATTAATTCTCCAATATCCCTTGCAAACCTTATCTAAAATGTATCCGTGTTGACATGTTATCACCAGTTGTTAATTGTTTGAGTCCAATTGTAAATGTATTAATGACAGTTGTCACTTTGAGGATAATGACCAAGCATGTTCACGACTTAGCCTAATCATTCAGATCTCGTTCGTGGGAGACGTTAGAACACCACTTGTTAGTCGCCCAATGCCACTGATTAATTCTCCAATACCCCTTGCAAACCTCATCTAAAATGTACCCGTGTTGATATGTTATCACCAGTTGTTAATTGCACGAGTCCAATTGTAAATGTATTAATGACAGTTGTAACTTTGAGGACAATGTCCAAGCATATTCACGACTTGGCTTAATCTTTTAGATCTCGTTCGTGGGAGATGTCAAATCACTACTTGTTAGTTACCCAGTCCCACTCGTTAATTTTCCAAAACCCCTTGCAAACTATAAACTTGTTATTTGTTAAACTCTACTTGTTACTTGACTAATAACACTGGTTAATACATGAATAGTAATCGATCATAAATGTCATGTTAATTCCATAATACCATGACATGATTGCAAATTTCAATACTCCACCTAAAATACATTTCATAATGTGTACATATGTATTGAAACTAAACTTGATTGCAAAAGAGCAATTACAATTGTTAAAAGATTACAAGTCACAATGACATGAAAGATCTTGAATAAGATCATTGCCTTTTGTTTTGGGGTGGCTTGACACTTGAAATGAGTAAATGGGCTTCTATTGATTTTGTGTTACATGGATGGTCCACAAGCTACTAAAATAAGTCAACTCTTAAGGAAGCTAACTCATTCTACAAAACATTTATGAACAAGGTTAATACATTTCCAACTTCACTTGCAATAAGTTTAATAATATAATATTCAAATACATCCTTGAAGTTGTACTTATATATATTTAGGAATTATATAGGTTGGCTAGTCTTTATGCTCTTTGTTAGACCAATATTTCAACAATGTTATGACATGAAGGCCGTATTCATGTCTACATTGTGTAATTTGAAAACAAGATAACGTTAAGATGGTAGACTAATTAATAACAATTTAACATTTAAACCATAAACTTACAAGGTTTCTTGTTTATGAACTGACCCAATTACGACCTTGCAGTTGGGTCATTCTCAAATAGCTTTAGCTTAACCATTGTCAATATCTAAACAAAATTGTCCTTTTGCACTATAAAATTTATCAGCGTGAGTTCAATAAAATTTCATGCCACAAATGTATTAACACATTTGATCTTACACAGCCTTTAGCTATTTTGCTTTTTCCATGAGTCACCGGATCTTTGGTTGCCTTTTTCACTTTCTTTCCTTTCTTGTCAATCTTGCCTTCCTCATTGCCTATCATTGAGTCCAACATATAAAATTTTAGAGTGCTTGGTTCCATCACAAAACAAAACCAGTGGTTAGCAAAAATCACTGGTGTAAATATGTACTCACACTCTCCTATGTTGTAACCTATGTACTTTGGCATAATCTACTTCAAGTTACTATCCAAATTCTAATGTCTTGGATTGCAAACCATTTGGTCCTACAATAATGCATGATGTCAAAAGATGCTTTTGTCAAACAAAATCCATCTAGATAAAGTAAAAACACTATATTTCATTATGAACTCAGTATCAAATATATGCTGCTTCACCCCTGAAGCATGTTCCTTTTGCTCGCCAATTAGGGTCTTGCAAGTTATGGACATAATCTATATAACCAAACAGCATGTTACTTGCACATTAAAGAAATTAAACCATGCCTTAACATAAAAGACCCTACTAACCCAATTACTAATCCATTGGCTAGGACCAAAATGATGGAGTTCATTATATGTTAGATGATATCTAAACATGTCTACTAAGATTCTATATGAGACACATAACAAATAAAAAGTATTTAAATTATTGTACTTAATAGGGAAGTACTTTAATTGGTAAAGTGATCGGACTTACTTTTTACCATCCTTTTTTCCATACCATTGTGAGCACATAAAATATATAAGTTCCTTCTCACTAGCTTTCCTTTTTCAAGGATAGGTAACCAACCATGGAGATTTGATGTGAGGGTTTCTCTCTCTCTATGATCTCCTCACTGCCATAGGTTTTTTCCTTTTCACACCCTCTTCCTTTCCCTGAACTTCTTCCTCCTCCTTATCATCCTCTTCCTTATCATCTTTGTCCTTATTATTGTCTTCTTCCTTCCCACTCTCCTTCTCTTCCTTATCTTCTTTGTTCTCCTCCTCTACCTCCTCCTTATTATCCTCTTCCTTATCCTCTTCTTTGTCCTTATCATTATCTTCTTCCTTCTCACTCTCCTTCTCTTCCTTATCTTCCTCTTCTTCTTCACTCTCATTACTCTGTTCTTTATTCTCCTTCTCCTCTTCTTCTTTATCATTGTCTTCTTCATTCTTGTTCTCCCCTTCTTGCTTATCTTCTTTGTCATCGTCACCCTCTTCTTCATTTGCATTGTCCTCCTCATTATCCTCTTTCTCCTTATACTTCTCCTCCTTTTCGTCCTCCTCTTCCTCCTTCTCTTCTTCGTGGTTGTCATCTTCCTTTTCTTCTTACCTAATCCTTTGAGGTTGATACTTCATCAGCTCCTTGCCAATATAATTCACAATAAAAGTTGTCATCTTAATATATAAATCTTTCAAGTCTTGCCAATATAATCCACAGACACGTGTTATAGATTTGACAACTAAAGTAAGCAAATTAATAACTATCATTACATAATTAACAAGTGGTATAACTCAAATGTTTTTTCCACTTGATCATGAAAGGATAATACTAAAACATTGATCATTAAAGAACTCTTTTGACTAGTGGCAGGGGAATACAAAATCCCATGGTTGCTCTTCCTCTCCAAGTTCACCATTTCACTTAATCTCTCTTCATTCTAATGCTGAAGTGCATCAGTGGGTGGTGGGACACCTTTACTTAAAGTGAAATTTTGAAGAAAACATATCTGCAACATAATTAAAAACTAATATTACTATTATAACAACTACTATAATTGATATAACAATTAAAATAACTACATACATACTAGTAACAATAGCACACAGCCTCCAACATTTTTGCTTCTATGCAGCTTTCATTTCCTCATAACCTCCTTGTACTATTGTATTTCTATGGATAGCTTGTTCAACACAAGGCAAACTATCTCTATGCATTGTTTGTGCATGCCATGACCTTCAACATCCTCTCACTTACACTAGGATAGGCAGTTAGGCAAAGAAGAGTTTCCAACGTGTACAACACAAATAGAAACTCAAAATCATTACTATTTTTTCCCTCTACAATTTTCTCTTTCAATTGGGTGTATGATAATGGAGTGTATTCTTTCTTTAGCTCATCAACAATATCCTTCTCTACCTCTATTGTCACCTTAGCCCCTTCATCAGGTATGCCAAATAGCTTCCCAACATTTACACTTGTCAACTTAATTGACTTCCCTTTAATAGTCATTTTCTATGTTGGAAGACCATAAGTACTCATTAGCTCGGCACATAGCTCTTAAGGAATTTTCTTACAACTAATGTCAAGTAATCTCCCAAAACTAATTTTGTTAACCTTCCTTTTCAACTTCTTGTTTGCTTTCACAAAATCAGCCACTTCTTTGAATTTGCTCAGAGAACATCTCATGTTGAAATGGTGGAACATATTTTTTTGCTTTCCCTTCAACCATTGCCACTTGTCTGTACTACTCCTTCTCCTCAGCACTAAGCTTTTTCGAAGCTTCTGCAACATGTTTTGTAGTGCCTTTAAAAGTGTGGAACTTTCCTTTATTTTTTTCACGAAATTCTTTTCTAAATATTCTAAACCCAGTGATCTGTTGTTTGGAACGCTTCTTTTTACCTTTCTCATCCACCATTTTTTAATATCCCTGAAAAAATTTACACTTATGTTATTTTTAACATTTGACTTGTAAATTCACTATCTTTACTTGTTATCAACTTTCACACACACTTTACAAACCATTTTACTTGTAAACCAAGAGATATTTCATCCAACATCACTTGTAAATCTCTCATACAAGACTTTTAAATTCTGAAGCTTTACTTAGTATCAAGCTTCACAAAACTTAAGACTAACAGATGCTTCATTCAATATCACTTGTTAGCATCCTGTATAACACATGTAAATTGCCTAAGTTTACTTATTATTGACCTTCATACAATTTACAACCAACACTCATTTAATTATTAAGCATCACTTGTTAATCTCCATTATGACACTTGTAAATTCCATAGATTTACTTGTTATCAAGCTTCATAAAATTTACAACCAACAGATATTTCATTCAATATCACATGTTAGCATCCTACATAACACAAGTAAATTGCCTATGTTTCCTTGTTATTGACCTTCATATAATTTACAGCTAGAAAATTTTTCTTTCAGTATCACTTGTTAATTTCGTATATCAGTCTTGTTAATTTCCAATATTTACTTGTCATTTTTCTTTCTTTCATTTATAAACCAACAACCCCACATATATGTTGTTCAGATACTATGAATAACTAGTAAATTATCTAACAACAATTGCAAATCACTAGACTAACTTCATTTTTTTAACATCATATTCCATTTTCAAAACATAAATCATGTGGGAAAGTAAGGGTAAAAAATTAACACACCCAACAACTAGAAAAGTCTTTACACTAAATGGTGACCAAAGTTACTATCAAAAGGAAGAGGGATACCGGTGACTGAGTGTATTTGGAAAAGAGAATACTTTGCTTTCTCGCTTGTGTATACGCCATCGACGGTAAAACACGAAATCCCTCAAGACAGGAGTGACAATGTTAGTAGAAATTTAGCTGAAGATAAGGATGCAGACCAAAAAGTCTCAACCTTGATGAAGACAAATAGAGAGAAGTTGAAGCTGGCGCTTCTTTCTTCAAAAAAAGGTCTTCGTCGTTCTTTCGCTGTCACTTGAAAACTAAACTCGTTTGTTTAGTATTTGCATTGAGGGTAGTTTCATCTTTTCCTCATCAAACTTATTTTTAGTTCAATCCTAGGAGGCTGAACTAAAATTTTACAATCTTTTGAGAGCCACCTAAAGATATCTTCCTTCCACGGTCCTTAAATGAAATTCTCCCTAAAATTAACAAGAAAAAATAGCAAGAAATTGTCAGTTCTTCTATAAAAACAATAATTAGTGAGGAAAATGATGATATACTTATCTAAAAAGGACTTTTACAGATATAGCCCATGTTACAGATAAACCAAACAAATAGCCCAACATTTATTATATTTTGTATTATAGCCAGTTTATTATATTTGTCAACGATATACCTTTGTTTATCAATAATAAACCCCTTATAAATTTCAAAATTTCAATGATAAAGCTCTTGTATATAACTGACAAACCCTTTGTATATCAATGTGAACCTGCTGTATTTCTAAATTTTCAAAAATTTAGTCCATATTTTCTAAATATAAGATTTTTTTTACCAGTAGGCCAATTTATCCTATCTAAAATGAGAAAATTAGTGCGGGATTTTATATTCATCTATAAAATATGATAATTAGAGAGGAAATTAGCAATGTATTTTTGTACCTCTCTAAGAATAATAATGAGTGAGGAATTTTAATGTCTCCTTAAAATGATATAATTAGCGATAAAATTAACAACACATTTTAATACCTCTCTATAAAATATTATTAACAAGAAAAATAGTGAGACATGTTTGTGCTTCTCTAAAATAAGAAAATTATTGAAATGTTAAAATTGAAAAAGTTTGGATGATTTTAATCAAAATCAATTTTAGAGATATAAATTACAAAAAGGACATATATTTTATAATTTAAACATTGTTAAAGCTGCACAAGATTGATATTATGTTTTATCTATTTAACAAATAAAATATAGAATGAAAAAAAAGTCACAAAGTTTAGAATTTTTTATAATTAAGTCCCCGACAATTTTTTTTTGAAAATACGTTGCAAATATTGATTGAAATAGTTGAAAACAAAAACCTTAATTACAAAATGAGAGTTGTATTTAAAATATAAATGCCTTATTTGCAGTTAGAACTGTTGAATTTATTATTATTTGAATTAATATTTACAATTGATTTTTTAGAAAATTTTGTCAAGACCTATCTATTGAACCATATATTTTAATGATTACATAACTAAGAGAAATGGTTTGCTATTTGTGCAAATCAATTATTATAATCCTAAGTGACAAAAGCTCAAGAGCATAAAAAACAAGAGAAGATTTAGTTTAAATAGGTTGTTTGTTTTATCTTCTCTTAGATTCAATGTTAAAAAAAATTGAGAACAAATTTTATACTTTACATGGTAAGAATGTTTCATATTAGAACATGTCATAAACTTAAAAGTCCTAGAACTTCAATATCAAACACTTAAAATGCATTTTGTGTCCATTGTCTAACACACGCTTGTCTTGTAAGGCAAACACACATGTTTCAACCTTCAGCAATGTATTATAAGACTTAATGGATCTAGTCCAAGCTTGTGTTGGAACCAATACATGCTTGTTTTTAGTGTTCAGAAGCCTTGTTCTTCAATAACCTCTAGTAGGCGCTTGTCTTGGAAAAGATGCATGCATGTTTGAATGTCCTAGTGAAAGCAATTGTTCTAAGTTTGACTAAAATTTGCTTGACTTAGTATGAGCATACATTTGATCTAGTACTTACCCAAGAATTAGCTTATATGATCTACTCATGCTTGAGTGCATGGTAACATACATGTGTTCCTTGTGTGATACACACTTGTTTGAGTTTCAACACTTAGAGTTTTCAAGTCTGACTTAGAGAGCATTGAACTTTAACAAGCCAATTCATCTAGAACCTTGAATGAGTTTGGCTCTTATTTTTGTGAAGATTTAGACCATGTTTCTTGTTCTTTTGCATTTGATCCCTCTTCACATTTGGATAGGAGTTTTCTAAGTGTTGAAATAGGTGAAAATGAGGCTCAAACTATGGCTATTCTAGTACAAAATGAAGCAAAATTTGAGAAGCAAGAAAATGACAAGCATACTAGGAATTCTTTAATTAGTTGGCTAAGGAGACTAATAAGGAGGATTAGGACTTAGCCAAGTAAATTCAAGTGAAGAAGATCCCTCCTAACATTTTAGAGCCTCTTTAATTAGATCTTAAGCCATTGCCTTCACATTTGAGAGACTCTTTCTTAAGAGATGGTGATAAACTTTTTATTATTGTCTCTTCTTCTCTTACTCCTATTGAAGAGTCATTATTGCTTGATCCATTATTGCATGATTTTTCTCTTCCCCCTTTTAGTGGAGTTGAGTACTATTTGATGGTTTTACATAATGACTTATATCTCTATAGTCTATCTTGTGCACATGATGTTTTAGATGGAAAAATTGAATTCCTTATTAGAACATTCTCATTTCATTTAGGAAATCTTCAATTTAACTTGTTTTTATCTGATAATGTGCCTTCATGCCAATCTAGTACACCCTACTTATTATATGATGATTTGAGTTTACTAGTCTTTATTGGTTGTGTTAGGTACTTAAATGGTTCATTATCACATTTCCATCACTTAAGTATGATATTTTCTTTAAGGATTGAGAGTAAGGATCATAGTGGAAGTTCTTCTTCTCAACTTGAGGCCCTCCATTACAAAGATTCTCCATAAGATCCTCAAGGTCGTATCTCCTCTTATACTCTTTACTTGGTTGAATTGTTCACAAATCACACATGTGGAGAACTTTTGTATGCTTATATCTTGTACACTTTTTGACATAATAGGAGAACTTCAATAAGGCACATATGTGGTTTACTACTTTGCTTATGAATATGTTTTAGGATGATTATTTTGTAGTCCAAGCATGGGGAAGGTATGACAATTCTCATTAGGTTAAAAAATTAGGAATAAAGTAATAGGATTCTTTTTCTTTCTAGGTTGCATATCATGCATTACATACTTAGTTGCATTACTTCTTTTCACTTTCACTTGCATTCATGTTTGAGCTTACCTTGCCATATCATTAGTTCTGTTTGCATTGAGGACAATGCAAGTTTTAAGTATAGGGAAAGGAATTAGGATTGCATTCATATGCATTTCCATAAGGGTGGTTTTTGGTGAAAATTTTCAAAAATGCTTGAGTTTGATTTCAAAATCAATAAAATGTTTTGTTTTGAAAGTAATTAGGAGGAAAGTCTTAGAAAAGATTGCTTTTTTGAAATGACATGTGAAACCAAAGCTGTTTGACTATAATTAGGGTTGGATTAGATTGTGCATCTATCTCTACATGTGAGAGATAATATAACCTTATTGGAAGAACACCTTGAGCCTTCATGCCTATTCCATTTTTATGAATATTTGGTCTCCTAGAACTTGTCTTTCCCCTTAGTCAAGCTTGTACAAATTGACCTATTTTGCTACCCCTTGAGCCTTCATCTTCCAAAAAAATCCATCTCATTTTCATTTTTCATGATGCATACCTCATCATCCTTAAAGTGACT